AGGTAGCGGTAATCCGTGGGTCTCCGCCTCAGCCACTTGAGCGTCTCGTCGAAGAACGTAGTCGGTCAGAGTCTCGCCCCTGTGAATCATGTAGTCGAACAGTACCCTGTTCTGTGCTTCGCGCGCTCGATCTCCTGGTCGTTCGCCGTTGAGCACTGCAAGGTGATCGAGCATCTTCTCCACTCCGTCTTCGGTGTCCAGTGTCTCTCTGATCACCTTGAACTTTAGTTGAATCTCGGTCGGGAAAGACTCAACTATCTTGGAGGCCTGATGTCTCGGCTCGTGTCCGGTGCGCCCCGACCAAGAGGTAACATTCTGCCCAAACAGCTCCAAGTATTCAAAACCTAGCCAGCTCGGTGGTGGCCCAAAGTCTTTGCTACGACTGTTGGAGCTCCCGCTCCAGTCGGCGCTGGCCGACCACCAGTCTCCCCAGGCCCCGGTCCACCACCAGCTCGGATCCCATCGATTGCCGCCGGCGTGGTGGTCACTCTCGGTCTCGAAAGTCGAGGCGTCCTTGTGACGTGGCCTCTCGTTCCACCAGGGCACGTCTGTCGCTGCGTCGGCGGTCCTGGATCTCATCGCACTCTGCGCCAGGTCGTCAGCGCCCTTCTCCTCGCTGCCTCTCGCTCTTCCCTCACCATCACAGTGCTCTCCCTCAACCATCGCTCCGCAACCAACTGTAGTCGCTCAGACGGGCGGTGGTGATGGGGATAGTGATCGTTTTGAGCTGGAACGGGGCAAGAGGGACGGGGCGCGGGACATCCTGGGTGTCAGTGCGCATCTAAGCCAATAGGCTGCGGAGGCAGAGGGCAAGAGGGGAAGGACGGAGAGGACACGGAGAGGAAACGGGGGACAGCTCTGCCCCCGCGTTTCTTTGGCCACAGCCCTCCGCCTCCTCTTCACATCCGAAAGCGGCGCCCAGGCGCACTGCCGCCGAGGTTCAGCGGCCGCAGCCGCACTGCCCCCCCCCCCGAGCCCCCCTTTCCTCCGACGACGCAGTTTTTCGCGACGTGGGTTCCCGGGGATCTCGACCTCCTCCCAAGGTCGTGCTTTCCATCCCGAGCCGCTTTTCGACTGTCCCCAGGGGTTCGGGAGGCGCCCCCCGGAGGCCGACACGGAGAAAAAAGGCCGCCGCCGCAATCTGTATACATATGCATATGTATACATATTTGTACATACATGTGTATACAAATTTGTACATGCATGTGTATAAGTATATGTATATGTCTACGTGATCGTACATGTACGCGTATGTGTATATTTATATGTATACATATGTGTATGTATATGTATATGTGTATGTATATGTATGTTTATAGGTATATGTATTTTTTTGTATGTGTATACGTATATGTATATGCACATGCTCATATGTATGTGTATGCATCTGTATAAGTGTAACTTTAGCGATGAATGTTCTCCGGTGAATGTTGTTTTTTTTCCGGGTGAATCCAAACGGTAGCCTCGCAGGAAAACACGCTAGTGTGGCAGCTAGGCTGTACAGCGTCAAATGCCGCCACTGTTTCAAGGTAACTCTCCCGTGTCGTCCACCTTGCGGGGCCTCCTGGCGAGGGGGATGTGCATGTAGAGGTTTTCAGACAGGGAGTACAGAGTTGGCGACGATGGGTTGTTCGAAGTGTTTCACGGCGTTTACCTCTGACGTGCATGTCTTCTGCTTCTTCTTCTTCTTCTGCGGATTGCTGGGCCCCACAGGCCACTTAGAGCAGATAGCAACATCAGACTCGCTGTTTTGTTCCGGCAGTGCTTCTTCATTGAAATATGGAAAAACATATAGGCATCATACCTTTCGCCTCCTCTCGTATCCTCTTCCTCTTCATTCGCCTCCTCCTCCTTCTCCCCGTCCTCCTTGTTCTCATCATCCTCATCCTCTTCCCCATTCTCCACATTGTTCCTCATGCTATTTCTCCTCACTTGCCTCATCCTCATCATTCCCATCACTATTCATCATCCTCTGTTTCCTCATTCTCTTCATTCCCCTCCTCATTCTCCGTCTCCTCTCCATTCTCCTGGTTCCTCTCATTATCCTCCTCATCCTCCTCCCCTCCAACATTATCATCTTTCTTGCCTTCATCTATGTGTCCTCGCTGCCTTTTTTTTTTTTTTTTTTTTTCTCTCTCTCTCTCTCTCTCTCTCTTTCTCACAATCGGAATCCTCTAGAAAGCATCACAACGGGATCCCATGTGAAAGCCTCACAAAAGGAACCCTTTTTTATAAAAACGAAGCAGTTCCATTGGAAAGCCTCTCACCAGGATTCCTTTGGAGAGCACCGCAGAGGGATTCTATTGGAAATCCTCACAAGCGGAACCCTTTGGAAAGCACCACGGAGGGATTCTAGTGGAAAGCCTCTCAACAGGAATCCTTTGGAAAGCACCACAGAGGGATTCTGGTGGAACGCCTCACAGCAGGACTCCTTTGGAAAGCACCACGCACGGATTCTATTGGAAAACCTCGCAATGAGAACCGTTTGGAAAGCACCACGGGGGGATTCTATTGTAAAACCTCTCAACAGGATTCATGTGGAAAGGACCCCAAAGGGATTCTATTGGAACGCCTGACACTCGGAATCCTTTGGAAAGCATCACAGAGGGATTCGATCGGAAAGCCTCACAGCAGGAACCCTTCAGAACATGCTGCAAATGGCTCCTATGGGAAAGCGTCACAAACGGAATCCTTTGGAAAGCCCCACAATGGGCTTCCATTGGAAAGCCTCACAACCAGAAACGCTTTGGAAAGCGCAACAAAAGGATTCCATTTGAAAGCCTCACAACAGGATCCCCTGGACAAAACACCACAAACAAGTTCCATTGGAAAACCTCTCAACATGATTCCTGTGGAAAGCACCACAAAGGGCTTCCTATGGAAAGCACCGTGGAGGGATTCTAGCGGAAAGCCTCACAATCGGAATCCTTCCGGAAAGCACCACAGAGGGATTCCATTTGAAAGCCACACAACAGGATCCCCTTGGAAAGTACTACAAAGGAGTTGCATCGGAAAGCCTCTCGACAGGAGTCCGTCAGAAAGCACCACAGATTTCGATCAGCGGGCAGGCGCAGGAGGAGGAGGAGGAGGAAAAGGAGGAGGAGGAAAAGCAGGAGGAGGAAAAGCAGGAGGAGGAGTAGGAGGGGCAGGGTGCCTCTTTGCCCGCTCCCTGGCCTTCTCTCTGCCCTCCTCGGATGGATCCCAAATTGATATTAACTGGGGTGTATACTATTCCAGGATCATTGACCCGGCTTCATAATGTCTCCCCCGGAACATTATGACTGGGGTTCATAATGTTCCCCGCGGAACATTATAATCCCTGGTTTATAATGCTCGGGTGATATCGACCCCAGAAACATATTAACCTGGGTTCAGAATGTTCTGGGGATGTTGACTGGGGTTGACAATGTCACGGGAATAATGAACCCGGTTTTCGTACTTTCGGAATGATAATAGTCATTATTTGCATGTCGGAACATGGACCTTGGTTCATTATCTCCAGGATATAATAAACCCGGATTCATAATGTTCCCGGAACATTGACCCCAGGTTGATTATTCTGGAATGATAATGATTGAGCCTGGGGGGCACCGTTTGAGAGTACGTTCCGGACTGAAATAATGTTGGAATTGAGTTGACTAGTGTTGGAATATTCGAATTAAGTTGACTATTCCGGAGAAAGAATGATTCGGCCGGGGGGGGGGGGCTGAGCTCGATCCATTCACAGGACAATAATCCATACGGTACCATCTGAGGGTAATGAACCTAGGTTTTCATTCCTAGATAATCAACCACGGTCGACGCGGATATCGGAGGTGGCCTTCCCCTTCTAGTGCCGCCGTGGCTGCCCTGCCTGCTGCACTCGCTGCCCCGCCCCGCTCCAGCCTGCCCTCCCGCCTGCTGCCTTGCCCCCGCTGCCCCGCCCGCTGCCCTGCCCCGCTTGCTGCCCCGCCCCCCTTCTCCTCCTCCTCCTCCTCCTCCTCCTCTTCTTCTTCTTCTTCTTCTTCTTTCTCTCTTTTCTTTTCTTTTTTTCCTCCTCCTCCTCCTCCTCCTCCTCCTCCTACCCCTCTACCTCCTACTCTGCCCTCCACCTCCCTCCTCCGCCCTCCTCCTCCGCCCTCCCTCCTCCTCCTCCTCCTCCTCCTCCTCCTCCTCCTCCTCCTCCCGCACTTGCCCGCCGAGACATTGCTCGCGTCGTGACAGAGATCCTGACGGGAAGTTCTTCGCCGTCTGGGGGGCCTCTGGCGGCCCTCGCCGGGCCCCAGGACCGGCAAACAGGGGCCCGGGATGAAACGCCGGTCTCGGGGAGAGGACGGAGGCGACGACAGGGGCGAAGAGCCCAGGGTAGAGCAATGTCTAAGGGCGCCGACGGTCCACATCTGCGGCGAGGCTCCTGGAGGGGTGCGTGTGCCTACCCCTGGGCTATGCGCCCTATCGCCGCCTCCGACAGGGGCGGGGGCTCAGCCCCTGCCGTTGCAAGCCCAGACAGGATCGCGTCGTGACAAAAAGCAGGACGGGAGGTTTTTGGCCGTTTTCGGCCTCGGGGAGCCCTCGCTGGGCCTCGGGGCCGTCAAAAGACGACTCAGGATGAAAAGGCCAGACAGGATCGCGTCGTGACAAAAAGCAGGACGGGAGGTTTTGGGCCGTTTTCGGCCTCGGGGAGCCCTCGCTGGGCCTCGGGACCGTCAAAAGACGACTCAGGGTGAAAGGGCGGTCCTGGGGAAAGAGTCTCGACTTCCAGGGACGCCGTCCTGAACAAATCAGGACGTCGCATGCCTGGGAGTGTTTCGCAGGGGCAGATGTTGCCCTGTCTCGGGCCCCTGGGCCCTCACAGATCGATCTGGATTGAAGAAACGGCGCGGGAGGATGGGGGCCAGGGCTCCGGGCGCGATGTTTCGTGATTTTTTTTTGGGGGGGGCACCCTCAGTTCTGAAGGTGCGTGCCCCGCCTGCCCTGTCAACGCGCCGCCGCTTCCTCCGGCCCACGGCCGGTTGCCGCAGCCCGTCCCCATCGTGATCGTGGCGCCGCTGCCGCCAGACGACTGGAACATGGTGAACAGCTATCCCGAGGTGTCTCCCCCCCGCGCAGCATGCGCTGGGGGCGTGCAAGAGGGGGTGGTGACCACGGGCTGGCTGGATGGCATGGCTGGGCCTGGCCCTCACGGTCCCCCCTTCTTCCTTCGGTGCGTTCCCTGGCCCCACCCCCCTGGGGGGACCGGGAAGGAGGAGGAGGAGGAGGAGGAGGAGGAGGAGGAGGAGCAGGAGGAGGAGGAGAGGGAGCAGGCGGAGGAGGAGGAGGAGGAGGAGGAGGAGGAGGAGGAGGAGGAGGAGGAGGAGGAGGAGGAGAGCAGGAGGAGGGCAGGAGGCAGGAGGAGGAGGGAGGGAGAGGAGGAGGCAGGAGGAGGAGGAGGAGGAGGAGGAGGAGGAGGGGAGGAGGAGGAGGAGGAGGAGGAGCAGAAGGAGGAGGAGGAGGAGGAGGAGGAGAGGAGGAGGAGGAGGGAGTGGAGGAGGAGGAGGAGGAGGAGGAGGAGGAGGAGTAGGGGGGGGGGGGGCGAGGAAAGGCCGCCGTCAAGCTGGGCCGCGCACGTGCCTCGGGCCATGATCTGCGACCTCCCCGCTTGGACGCCCCCGAGCGTGGAGCGAGGCCCGGGGCGAGGAGAGGCCGACCCCGCGCAGACGCTGCCCGCGGCCCCTGAGGGGACACGGTGGCCCCGTCCCGCCCCGCAGAAGCAGCCTGTCGGGAGCCTTGAGACGGGGGTCAATACAGACGGGGGTCAGCCAAGGCGCCAGATCCTGCAGGATCCTGCGAAGATCCCCTCACCCCCTCTGGCTGACCCGGGTTGGGGAGCCGCTCGTGGCCGCGAGGCGGCCGCACATGTTGACTGACCCGGGTTTGCGAAGATCTGCGTTGCAGTTTTTTTTCCTGCGTTGCAGTTTTTGGTTTCCTGCTGACCCGGGTCTGGATTGACCCGGGTCAGAAGATCCCCGAGCCTGGTGGGGGCCTTCGCTCAGGACTGTCCCCCTTAGGCCCCAGACCCTGGAAGATTGGTGATCCGACGAGGGCGGCGGTGATGTCCACGGCCAAGCCTCCACGGGAGTTCCACCGGCGCCCAGGCCCCAGCCTCCTCATCCGATGGTTCCCGATCCGATGCCCTCACCGTGGCGGGGGTTGCGCACGGGACGAGACGCGCGGGGCAGTGCGGGCGGGGATGCGGGGCAGAGCGGACAGGGCGGGCACGGTGGTGGCCCCTGCGGTGCGGTGGCCACACCGTGTGGTGAGTCTGGGGATTCTGTGTGTCCGCATGGTTTTGGGGCTCGGGTTTTTCTCCAAGGATGTCTCGGGCGACGGGGGCCTCCAGGGTCTTACAAGCGTGCGGCGATGGTCCTCCTCCTCTTCCTTCCATCCTCCTCGTCTTCCCTCGCGTCCGCGCCCTGCTCGTCTTCGTTTCGTTCGGCCTCGTCATCCTCATCGTCGTCAGGTGCAGGCGCACTGACGACCGCAAGAAGTCGCACAGACAGGAGACAGCAATCTGACCGCAGAGGGGAAGACCATGTGAATTGTGAATGATGATGGTATCGAGGCGGAGGATGAGGAGAAGGAGGATGAGCAGGAGGAGGAGGATGAGGAGGAGGAGGAGGAGGACGAGAGGAGGAGGAGGAGGAGGAGGAGGAGGAGGAGGAGGAGGAGGAGGAGGAGGAGGAGGAGGAGGAGGAAGAGGAAACGAAGGTTGGTGATCGGAGGCGCGCAGGTGGCGGGGGTGAGGGGTATGTGGGGCGAATTTGGTGCCCGGGGGCAAGGTCTACTTCATGGAGGGCTCGCCGTCGTCCCAGTTCGATCTTGACCGTGCCTGTGTCAGGAGTGCCTCCCTCTCGTTCTTTCTTTCTTTCCTTCTTTCTTTCTTTCTTTCTTTCTTTCTCTCTCTCTCTCTCTATATATATATATATATATATATATAGATCTCTCTCTCTGTTTGCACGTTCGACGCCTTGGTCATGTGTAATGCTGGGGGGGGAGGGCAGACTCTGGTATATTTCTTGGTGGACCAGGGCTCAGGGGTCTGTTGTCCCCGTGCACGGCACACTCTCCCTCCCTTCCTCCTTCCCCCGTCTCCTCTTCTTCTTCTTCTTCTTCTCCTTCTCCTTCTTCTTCTTCTTCCTCCTCCTCCTCCCTTCTCCCTCCTCTCTCCACTCTCCTCCCTCCTCCAACTTGGGGGGAGGGGCCTCCCTGCGAGACCTGGTCCACCTTGCGGCGGCACGAGGGTGGCCTCCCCCCCCCCTCAGGTCCTCCGATCATGTTTTGGGGAGTTCCGTGGGCGACGGCGCGTCAAAGTGAGCAACTTCGAGCAGGTAGCCTGCTGCTTCGCACGCTTGTCCGCCTCACGGCGGAGCACCTTCGGGCTGGGACGGGGGCCCGGTGATGGCCCCGCGCGCGCCCAACTCTCCTTGGTGGCCCCCTCTTGTGGCCTTGGCGTCGGCCCCCTGTGCGGCCACCATGGCTTCGGACCACGGTGAACATCAGGGCCCCGATGTCCATCCCGCCCCTGCTGCGGGCCCCCCACCTGTCTCGTCTCCTCTCCGCAGGCCCAGCCTGCATCCTGCTCTTCGGTGCCCCCCCCGGTGAGGGCGAGTGTTCCAATGGCCCCTGGGCCCATGTCCGCCTTCCTGGCAGGGCCTCCTCCGGTGCCTTTCGCACAGCGTCTAAGAGGATACACCCTTCTGGTAGGTGTGCTGCTTTGGGCCAACTCTCTTTATGGCAGTGCATTCCGTGGTTGCTCGAATCCCCCGACGCCGATGGCGATCTTGAGGTATCGTCCGACTCTGTGCAGGTGCAGGCTGAGCTTACGTTCGGTCCTGCTCTTCCGACGCCCCCCCTGACCCTGCCCTGCAGCCCGATTTCGCTGGGTTCGAGCGCTCTCGTGGCTGTCGCAGAGTCGATCCTGAGAAGTCTCGGTTTCAGGATTCTGATGCCGAGGAGTCGGTCAGAGAGGTTCCCTCCCACGACCCCGTCCTTGTGGACGAAGTCGAGGCGTCTGACGAGCAGGCCATTCTGGATCAGCTTGCTGCTGCTCCGCAGAACGGGCATGCGGCTCCATGGTTGTTGGCTTCCTCTCCTCCCTCCCCCTCGTCGACTTTCGACGAGACCGCATTGCCGCCAGCTGCGAGACCGCGCGTCGCCGCCGGGACCAGCGCCGCCGCCGCTGGGTGGCGCCGTGGGGTGTCGAGCCCGCGCGCCCCCCGTCGCTGTTTCGCGAGCCTGCCGTGGGGGCCGCGGACGCTCACGAGGCTGCTGCGGTCGCCGATGTCCGGGCTTGGCCTGCTTTGGCCGGCCCCCCTCCTGCCTCTTCTTCCCTTGCCTGCACTCTCCAGGAGTGTATTGGGAGCACGGGACCGTTCCCCTCCTCACCACTTCCTCCTCCTCCTCCTCCTCCTCCTCCTCCTCCTCCTCCCCCTCCGCCCCCTCCGTCTCCTTCTCCTCCTCCTCCTCCTCCTCCTCCTCCTCCTCCTCCTCCTCCTCCTCCTCCTCCTCCGCCCCCCCCCCCGCCGCCGACGACGACGATTCTCCCTCGCCGCGACGGCGGCGACGACGACCTCGCCTGTGGCCATGGCGGCCTCTCGCAGGACCGCCTCCCACATCTTCGTGAGCCAGGCGCCCGTTCCCCCGCCGAAGCTCGCCCCGCTCCCCCCCTCCCCCCGCCCCGCTCTCCCTCGCTCCCCTCGCGCTCCTTTATAGCCTCCCAGTTTGGAGTGCTCATGGCGTTCGAGCCGACCAGTTCACTTCTGTCATGAAGTCGTGTCCACTGGGCCAGGCGCCGCCCCGCCCGCTCCCCCCCCCCGCTCGCCTCCCCCCCCCCCCGCCCCGCCCCCGCGGGCTGCCCTTGCGGTACGCCGCGGCGCGCGCGCGGCCTCGCCGCGCTGCGCTGCTCCCGGGTGCCCCGCCGCCGCTCTGAGGGACGTGGGGGGCGGAGGGGGAGGCGGAGGGGGAGGGGGAGCGGGAGGGGGAGGAGGAGGAGGAGGAGGAGGAGGAGGAGGAGGAGGGAG